AGCGTCCCAAGGTCACGCAACCGTCTGACCAGCAAAGTCGAGTGAAGCTGCCTTAACAGTTGCCGTGATTCACTTTACAAGTGGGGCGAGGAACGTCGTAAAACGGGGCCAAAGCTCCCTTAGCGACTGTCTCACTGCACAGCAGACGTTTGGGGCTCAGTTGCCGTAAGTCGAGGACTGCCTGTACGTCCAGTTCTCCCCAGAGATTAAGAAACACGTTCAAACCTCCTGCCCCACTCTGTGTGTACAAATTGTGTGTCTTTTTTCTCTACCCCACCCTCCCCAGTGATTACCTGTTCAAGCTGCTTCTGATTGGAGATTCCGGTGTGGGGAAATCCTGCCTCTTGCTACGGTTCGCCGTGAGTATCTACGATTGCCCCCCAAAACAGCTTATTTTTCTTACTAACCCTTCCGTCTTTCCAACGCAAAAACAGCCCTTGGGACCTGCTACTAATTTAGGAATGTTTCGAGGGAAGCTGAGGTCAAGGGGGATAAAAATGCATTAAAAAAAAAAACTTCTGGAATTTCTTATCTGCCCCACCTTCAAATCTTTAAATCCCCTTTATTTTTTGGGGGGAAGAGAAGAGGATTTTTTTTTTCATGAAACGTCTTTTAACTGCTTTGGCCACGGATTAGGACTCGTCCTAAATTCCACTTGCGTTGATTTAAATCATGTGGTTTCACCTTTTGCAATTGTTTGGAGAGTTTGGATGGCTAGAATCGTGGCTTGAGCTAATTAACGGGGGATCAAGGGCTAGGATTTTGACCGAAGGCGTCATTTTCTCTGTGGTGAGTTATTTTTCTTTTTTCCTCCCCACCCCGCTCTCCGGGCCAGGATGACACCTACACAGAGAGCTACATCAGCACCATCGGGGTAGACTTCAAGATACGAACCATTGAACTGGACGGCAAAACCATTAAGCTGCAGATTGTAAGTTTTTTTGACGGGCTGTCCCGAAGGGCAGGATAGCCACCACCCTCTGGTTTTTATTCCCTTTCCCAGAAGGAGCCTCTTGATTAAAAATCCAAAATTCATTTCCCTTTTTTTCTGAACCCTTGACTAAATTGGATGCTGGCTAGGGGGATTCAGCTTGGAAAAATCACCAGGTGGTCAGTCCTGCTTCCGACAGATGAAACTCTTCAAAAGAACTTCGTGGCATTGTTTACCTTACAGGATCTTTTATTCGAGTAGCATCATATCGGCACTACATAATCAAAGCCAAATTCCCCTCCCCTGGGCACCTAGTATCAAAGCACAATTCCCTCCTCCAATTAACAGTCATAAATCACATTCCCCAATGTACATATTTTATTTGAAAAAATTAATTAAAAAATTTAAAAAATAAATAAATAAATAAATCACATTCCCCAATTAGCTTGAACCACGGGCTTCCTCTCCAGCTCTCCAGCCCCCCAATTCCTTATCAGCTCTGGTTACAATATCCTTGATTCTCACGCTAAGTTTAGCGTTGTTGTGTCTAGCTGGACTCTCATTCACATCCTCCCCCCAGCATCATCTAACTCTAAAAGGAAAAGATGGCTACATTTACGTCTGTTAATGCAAAAACATCCAACGTTAGCAGCGTTCATGATGGGGATTATGGGAGTTTGAAGTTCTGTCCAATGAGGCTGCTAACGTCTCTCTCTGCTTTCTCCAGTGGGACACAGCTGGGCAGGAACGGTTCCGGACCATCACGTCCAGCTACTACCGAGGGGCCCACGGCATCATCGTGGTTTACGACGTAACGGATCAGGTAGGGGGGGCAGTTCCAGCCACAGAGGAGCAGGACCATGGAGGCTTTTAACACACCTTCTGGGACCGACACAAAAATCTGCCAAGCAGAGACCAACAAAACTCGGCTTTTCTGCAGCTGTTTTCCCAAGGCTGTTTTCCCAATGCTCTGGGAACTGAAGTCCATGCTGGCTCTGGGATTCTGGGAGTTGAAGTCCTCCCACGCCAGCTCTAGGATTCTGGGAATTGAAGTCCTCCTGTGCTGGCTCTGGGATTCTGGGAGTTGAAGTCCCACCTGGAAATCATGGCTGGGAAATGCCAGCCTGGCCTTTGGGATCCTCCTCAAGGGTTATGGGCTTTGGAGTAGCGAACGGCTCCCCCTCCAGGCCTCACCTTGCCTCTTCCTCCCTCTGGCTTCCGCCCAGGAATCGTACAACAACGTCAAGCAGTGGCTGCAGGAGATTGAGCGCTACGCCAGCGAGAACGTCAACAAGCTGCTCGTCGGCAACAAGTGCGACTTAACCACAAAGAAGGTGGTGGACTACACAACCGCCAAGGTGAGCCTCCAGCTGCGGGAAGTGCAGGGCTCTGCATGCACTCCCGGTCTAAACCTGCAGTCTGGGGCAGTCCAGCAGGGGGCAGCATCCCGGCTTGAGAGCTGGAAGCATCTCTGTGGGGCGTACCCCGTGTCGCAGGTCGTCCTCGACTTACAACCGTTCATTTAGTGACCACTCAGACTTACGACGGCACTGAAGGCAGTGCCCTATGGCCCAATGCTCGCACAACAACTGTCACACCGCACTCACGGCCTGCATTTACGACGGTTGCAGCACCCCAAGGTCCCCTAACCACCACTTCCTTCCTTCCCGCAAGCTGGATTCGCTTAACGGCCACATTGCTCGCTCTACGACCGCAGCGGTTTACTCAACCACCGGGGTGGGGGTGGGGGTAGAGAAAAAGGTCATCAGATCAAACTTTTGATCAAAAAGGAAATAAAATCGGGCACGGCTGATTTCACTACCGCAGACCCACTTAAACCGCCGCAACTTCTGATCCCGGTCACGAGTTGAGGACGCCCCGCCGGCGGGCCGAATGTCGTTTCTCGCTGTCCTCACCCTTCCCCTCCCCTCCCCTCCTCTCCTGCCCCCCACCCCAGGAGTTTGCCGACTCGCTCAGCATCCCCTTCCTGGAGACGAGCGCCAAGAACGCCACCAACGTGGAGCAGTCCTTCATGACGATGGCGGCCGAGATCAAGAAGCGGATGGGCCCCGGGGCCACGGCCGGCGGGGACCGGCCCAACTTGAAAATCGACAGCACTCCGGTGAAACAGGGAGGCGGTGGCTGTTGCTGAACCGGAGGGACACGATGGCTTTGTGGGCAGGGGGGGAGGAAAGGAGGGAGGGCTGGGGGGGGGGTGCCTGGGACAGGCCGGGGCAGCGGGGTCCTGCCCCCTCCCCACCGTCCAGCCCCTTCCCCCTCCTCCTCCTGGTTGTTTTTTTTTTTTTCTTCTTCATTCTCTGAAGGGGGCTTTCCGGATGATACCTCCCTGCGGAGGGGACGGGGCCTTCCTCCCTTCCAGCGCAGCTGCTACTCCGAGTTGGGGGTCTTGGGCTGTTTGTCCCCCTCCCTCTTCCCCTTTTAACTCTGGACAGGGAGGCGGGAGAGGCCGGTGGTCTCTCGCCAGGCCAGGCTTTCCCTGCCCCTGGTTTTTTGGGGTGGGGGAACACATCTCTGATTGATGGGGGGGGGGNCGCTCGCCCGACCTCCCCCCCCCTCTATTTAAGGAACGTCAGGGACCCCCGCCCCGGGTGGAAAGTTTTCGTCGGCTCTCGATTCGTCCGTCCGTTTTGTTTTTCCACCAGTGACATTACAAAACACGAGAGGAAGAGAGAGAGAAAAGAGGGGAGCGGGGAGAAAACGAATAAAAACATAAGCAGCCTCTGCAAAATGAGGGTTTTCCAGGCTCGGTTGCGTGTGTGGTTTTTTTTTGGTTGTGGTTTCGTGTTTTTGTTGGTTTTTTTTTTCTCGTCCTGCACAACAACGGTGGCTCGCAAACTTTAAACAATTCGGTGCATCGTGGTCGAATTGGTGAAGCTCATTTTAATTCTGCTAAGAATTGGGTTTTTCAATCTTGGTAGCTTTTAAGGGGGGGAGACTTCCAACTCCCAGAATTCCCTGGCTGGCTGGGAACGGCCATTGCTGTAGGAAAGCCGAACACTGCCCTCTGGTGGGTACGCAAGAGAAAAGCACCCAAACCGCGGGGAAAGGATCCCGGCCACTGACTCAGGCTGGCAATTTTCTTTCTGCATGGATTTAATTTATATCCTGCCTTTATTGTGTTTAATCAACAGCTCAAGGCAATGAGCAGAATACCCCCTCCTCTTATTTCCACCCCCCCCTCGCAACGACAGCCCTGCGAGGTGGATTGGCTGCTGTTTAAACCAGGTTGGGGGGGGGGGATATTTCAACCTCGGCAGAACATCCGTTGGGTAGATTTGATTTCAATACGTTTAAAACATTAAATGGTTTATTTAATCCCCCTAAATGCCTCGGCCAGCTCCTGTTGATGAATCTTTTCCATCCTGCAACAACAACAACAAAAAAACTCTCCGAGGGGGACAACAGGGGGCGCTCTCTCACTGCCTGGCTAGCCTGCCGCTTCCCTGGGTCTGCAACCTGGCGCCCGTCATAAGTATGAGTCAGTTGCCAAGTGGGATGGATTTTAGGAAACGCTCAGATTTCACACAATCCCCCCCTAACCGGCTTCTTCTGGAAGGTCTTGCCGCTGCCAAGCTAGCTGAGATTTAACCAGGATTAGCTTTGCGCAAGGAGGAGGGCGATTTCCAACTCGGCCTATTTGGTAATTGACGGCTTTGGAGTTTTGTACCGAAGCACAAAACTCCACCTTCAGTCATCTCGGCTAGAAACGGGGTTTATTTAGGGAACAGACTAGGAGGACAAACCAGGAATTAGCCATAGTTTAGGATTGTGGGCTGCGTCAACTTTGGAACTTTGTACAAAAGATCTCGATACTGGAAAGGAAAGAAAAAAAAAACCCCTAGAACCTTGGGCTGTTGTCCAGGTGAAGCTTTGACCTGTACATCAAATTTATATACAGCTTTTTCCTTGCTCTTTTTGCAACGACAGCCCTGTGAGGTAGGTTGGGCTGATCCCAAATCACCCGGGAGCTTCTGAACTGGACTTCAACTCCCAGAATCCCCCCCCCCGCCAGTCGGCACTGGCAGGCCTCGCCTGAATTCTGGGAGTCAAAGTCGCCCCCGTCTTCCACTGGCCAAGGTTGAGCACTGACCTATAAAGCCTTTCCTTCCTCGGGCAGCAAGGAGGATGGGGTTTGTAGTCCAGGCCCAGATCTTAGACTTAGGAAGGAAGAATCTGGGTCTGTGGTCAGCATTGACGGGTCTGGTCGTCCCAGGTGCCTCTTTGGGCAGGGAAGGATGGGAGTTAGGATCCAGCAGAGAGCCCCCTGGGGGAGGATGGGATTTGTTGTCCAGGCACAGATCCTAGGAAGTAAGATCTGCAGTCAGCATTGACAGGTCTGGTCATCCCAGATGCCTCTTTGGGCAGGGAAGGATGGGAGTCGGGGTCCAGCAAAGAGCCCCCTGGGAAAGGATGGGGTTTTGTAGTCCAGGCACAGATCCTAGGAAAGTAAGATCTGCAGTCAGCATCGACGGGTCTGGTCGTCCCAGGTGCCTCTTTGGGCAGGGAAGGATGGGAGTTGGGGTCCAGCAGAGAGCCCCCTGGGAAAGGATGGGGTTTTGTAGTCCAGGCACAGATCCTAGGAAAGTAAGATCTGCAGTCAGCATTGATGGGTCTGGTCATCCCAGGTGCCTCTTTGGGCAGGGAAGGATGGGAGTTGGGGTCCAGCAGAGAGCCCCCTGGGGGAGGATGGGATTTGTGGTCCAGGCACAGATCCTAGGACGTAAGTTCTGTGGTCAGCATCGATGGGTCTGGTCATCCCAGGTGCCTCTTTGGGGGCGGGAAAGGATGGGAGTCATGGTCCAGCAGAGACCCCTGGGGAGGATGGGATTTGTGGTCCAGGCGCAGATCCTAGGACGTAAGATCTGCGGTCAGCATCGCTGGGTCTGGTCATCCCAGGTGCCTCTTTGGGCAGGGAAGGATGGGAGTCGGGGTCCAGCAGAGAGCCCGCTGGGGGAGGATGGGATTTATTGTCCAGGCACAGATCCTAGGAAGTAAGATCTGCAGTCAGCATCGATGGGTCTGGTCATCCCAGGTGCCTCTGGGCGGGGAAGGATGGGAGTTAGGATCCAGCAGAGAGACCCCTGGGGGAGGATGGGATTTGTTGTCCAGGCACAGATCCTAGGACGTAAGATCTGCGGTCTCTGCGGTCAGGATTGATGGGTCTGGTCATCCCAGGTGCCTCTTTGGGCAGGGAAGGATGGGAGTCGGGGTCCAGCAGAGAGCCCCCTGGGGGAGGATGGGATTTGTTGTCCAGGCACAGATCCTAGGACGTAAGATCTGCGGTCAGCATCGCTGGGTCTGGTCATCCCAGGTGCCTCTTTGGGCGGGGAAGGATGGGAGTTAGGATCCAGCAGAGAGCCCCCTGGGGGAGGATGGGATTTGTTGTCCAGGCGCAGATCCTAGGAAAGTAAGATCTGCAGTCAGCATCGACGGGTCTGGTCGTCCCAGGTGCCTCTTTGGGCGGGGAAGGATGAGAGTCGGGGTCCAGCAGAGACCCCCTCTCCCCCCACCCTTCCAAAAACCCACCTGCTCCAGCAAAGCGGCCCCTCCTGCCCACCTGCTGCGCTTGCTGCAGAGGGGGGGTTCCCCCAAAAGCGACCCCGACTCTCCCCCCCCCTCCAAAAAAAAACCCCCCACCACCCAGGATCCTCAGCGGCCGGGTGGCACTCCGCAGCCCCTGGTTCCCAGCCGGGGCTGGCCCCTTCGCGCTCACCTGTGCGGCGCGGCCNAGGGAGGGGAGCGGGCTCAAGGGCCGGGGAAGGGAGGGGAGGGGGATCAAGGGCCAGAGAAAAGAGAGGAGGGGGCTCAGGGGCCGAAGAAGGGAGGGCAGGGGCCTCCGTGGCCGGAGAAAGGAGGGGAGGGGGTTCAAGGGCCAAGGAAGGGCTAGGAAAGAACTGGAATTTTAGGGGGGGGATCAGCACCAAAGACAGGTCCAGGCTCCCTAGCAAGGGTAGGTGGGCTCTCTCTGCCAAACTCCAAACGGGGTGTGGGGGGGGAGCAGTCCAGCTCCTAGCATCATCTATTTCAATCTTTAGCCCTATTTTTTTGAGGGGAGGGTCTTTCAGCAGCGGGGGAGGGCAAATCTGAGCAATTTGGGAGGGGTGAGAAAGCCCCCCCCCCGTGAGTCCCTCAAACAAGCAGACATGCCTTCGGTCCTAGCAGAGAGAGAGAGGGAGAGCCCTGCAATTTGGGTCTGGGGGTGCAAAGGCCGTTTTATTTCTGTCTGGGGGAAAATGGGGGGGGATCGTGGGTCTTTTTGAGGGGGGGTAGCAGAGAAATTTGGATCGACTGGGAATCACTAGCCTAACCAGGAGGAAAACCATCTATCCAAGAGCCCCTAAAAGGGGTCTTGGGGGTGGGGAAGCCCCCTCCCCAAATTCAGAAAAAGCCACCTCCTCCCTTGCAACTTTCCAGCTATCCCCTACCTCTTTTAGGGGGCTATTAAAAAAACAAAAACAAAATAAGAGGGGGTTTTTTTATTCCCCTCTTCTTCCATTCTGGTGACGTGCTCAGGAATCCCAGGAAAGGATTTTTTTTTTTAAATTTATATATATTATATATATAATTTAAAAAGAACTCCTCCTGTTCCTCCATTTTCTGCCATCCACCTCTCTGCCCCCTCCCCAATTTTCTCTCCTCCATCTGTAACCAAGGAACCTGACTCCGGTTGCCATGGGAACTACATATGTTTACAAAAGAGAGCCCTTTCCTAATAAATGGGATGCTGGCATCAATGTAACTCCTTCCCGGTGGGGGTCTCCTCGGGGTGTGTGTGTGTGTGTGTTTGTGGGGTGGGGGGGACAGGATGTGAGGGAAATAAAGCCCCCTAGATCTGATTTGAGTGTTAAAAAAAGCTTGGAATCCCTGCTTCTTCTTTTTTTAAAAATAAAATAAAATAATGGATTTGACACACAGCCGTGCGGAGAACAATCCAAAGATCCTTAAACCAGGAAAGGATTTCCTTGATTTAAAGGAAACAAACCAACATAGGATGGGAACATCGGTTGTCAAAGCAAGCGCATCCAATGTTTGCTTCTGTCTCTCTCTCTCTCTCTCTCTCTAAGCTTTAACCAGGTTTTGGCTGCCAAAAATCCTGCAGGAGTTTGAAGCCCCGGTGTAAAAATAAGGCCG